CAGAGAAAAGAGTACAGCTACAGGGGTGGGTGGCTACAACATCACGCGTTATAGCAGGTCCCATGACGCAGGCATGTCTTCCCCAGCATTAGGGTAGGATCGGGACGTGTCCCCTGGGGGGATAGAATACGGCCCCAGGTGAAGATCTCGAACGTCAAATGGAGAACGTAACGACTACTGATTCGCTAGTCATGACTTTACACCTGAAATTCTTTGCTTAAGATGTGAGTCCTTCAGCCAAGAAGATTCGTGAAGTGCTCTAATACACGGAAAGACGAGAGCTGAAGGCCATGTGGTGTTAAGGCGTTTTCTTGATTAGTCCTTCAAGCGAAGCAATCGCATAGCGTTATATACTTATCGATCGTCAGATCCGATCGGACGATCGATACGTATCTAATGCTGGGCGATCGTTACGATCGTTACTATCGTTACGATTGGACGACCAGTTAGGCGTCCTAACGGGCGCAGGAGAAACGTGGTGAAAAAAAAACGGAAGTGGTGTAGTGGCAAGTGGCACGCTTACCACGCGAGCGGTCCGGGGATCAAATCCTGGGTCGTGAGTCGCCCGGGCCAACCAAGCCTTCCATCCCTCCAGGGCCGGTTAAAGCTAGGGATTGTGATAACATTGGATTGGGTCCGTATCACCTGCAACGGCTGGGCAAGAGTGCACAAGCTGCCACAGTGGGTACCTCACCACCTGAGTGAAGGCGATCGTCAGCGACGTGCCGAGGTGGCTACTCAGCTGCTCTCGTACAGGCGCACGGATGACTGGTTGGAGTCCATCGTTACAGGAGATGAGAAGTGGTGCCTGTACGTCAATATCAAGCGCCGCCGACACTGGGTTGACAAGGATGAGCAACCTGAGCCGCAGCCGAAGGCAGGTCTTCACCCTTAAAGGTTATGATCTGTGTTTGGTGGGACTGGAAAGGTATCATCCACTATGAGCTTCTCCCACGCAACGCTACCCTTACGGCAGACCTCTACTGTGAGCAACTGGATAGACTGGCCGCCAAAATCGCAGAAAAGCGTCCAAATAGTGGTACGATCCGATTCTTGCACGACAACGCTCGCCCACACACTGCAAGAGTGTCTCGCCAGAAGCTACTCGACTTTGGGTGGGAGGTGTTGCCTCACCCGCCGTACAGCCCGGACCTTGCTCCGACAGACTACCACCTTTTCCTGTCGCTGTCCAACGCCATGCAAGGAAAAACATTTGATGACGATTATGATATGGATCGCTGGTTGAGCAACTTTTTTGAATCAAAGCCAGAAAGGTTCTTTGTCAAAGGGGAGACTGTCAATTCAATCGTCAACTACTGGGCTCACGCCGCTCAAGCGGACGATTGAATTGAGTTTGTGCGGCAACATCTGTGTGGACCTTGGCTTCACTATCCATGTCCATAAGTTGCTGGTGGACTAGGTAACTGATAAGACCAGAGTGCTGGACATCAGTAAGCCAGCAAGCGTCACTGTAAGATCTCCTGCAGTGATTTAAGCCTCACAGTACAAAGGTTGTACCGTGTAAAGGTTGTCCTTTGAGGATTTAATTTGACTTCTTTATTAATCAGTTTCCTGAATTTCTATCAGAGAGTGACGCTCTGGTTCAGT